GTAGTAAGGCACTTGTTACTAGTAGCGATGCACTTGTTTCTACTAGCTTCTTGTTACTAGAAGAATGCTCAGTGACTCAAAAGGTTGTTTTGAGAACCTCGAGTGCCCATCTTCCTTGATCCGCAATCTCATTTCAGCCGAATCAAATCTCCAGCCTCGTGTAAACCTCAGGACGCGAGTGACGTGAGCCAGAAAGCTTTCACAACTTGACAATGCAGCTGAAGGAAGCGTCAGAAACTGTCTTTCTTGAACCTCAAGGATAAATAAATCTGAGCTAGAGACCTCCGCGACGCTGAAGTTTTCTGTCTCTGCTGGCACCAGGCTGAAATCCACTCCTTTGCAAAAGGGCTTGTGACAACTTGTGTAGATGTACGGTATACACTGGACTCAAATCGGGTTTGCAAAAGTCGAGAACCGAGAGCCAAAGTTTGGTCACAGCCGCCTGGCTCGGCCTCTTCAAGGAGAATCCTTCCTAGATCAAACGCCACAGGAAAAGCAAAGCACCCGTTGACCCGCAATCTGTGCAATGTTTCGACTTAACATCACCTGCAAAATACTGTACATCCTTTGGTTCCAGAGAAGCACAAGAAAGTTGTGACTCACTACACTCCCCTGAATGTTTGCAAACTTTCCCGCACAGCTGCCTGCACCAGACAAGTAAACATTGAAGCCTGTGCACAGTCTTGAACAAATGGCAAAGCAGCAGCATTGCAAATATTGCCATGACTAAGTCTCAGAATGAAATCAAACAACACATTCAATGGCTTGTTTGTGACTCGCTGTTTTTCGTGGCCAGATCCCGGTCCTGCCACTGCAGAGGTCTCTGTAATCTGCCAGCCTGCGAAAAAGACGAGCTGAGATTCCGAAGCTCGGGTGCCCTTATTTGCGAAGATCGCCCCTCAACAGTATCCCGTGAAAGTGCCACCATGTGGACCACAAACCCTGCGCTGTCATCAAACTGGTTGATATAGCTTTCTTTGAGTTTCATCAAACTGGTTGATATAGCTCTCTTCAGCCTACTGCACGTTTTTCAAAGCTCTGTCTGGGCCGTTCACTGATGTTTCCACCGATTTCTCCAGCATCCAAATCCTGGCCACCGTTCCGTTCAATCATTTCTTACTCATGTTACTAGTAGCGTTCTTGCTCCTAGTAGCAAGGCCAGGAGCCCCTAGTAGCGTCCTCGCTCCTAGTAGCGATGCTCTTTGCTCCTAGTAGCGTTCTTGCTCCTACCCCCACCAAATCACCAACAGCTAATTATATGGATGGCGTCTCTTGATTGTTGCCCACGGTATATACTGCCCAATGACCAGATTAATTAGTTAACTTTGGGACTCTCGCCTGGTCAATGAAGTTCACCGCGGAGACACTGGCATCAGCATCCTGGCCGTTCACAGGTCAGCCTGATCCGTTCAAGCCAGAAACATGATGTTGAAAACGATGCTCCGCATGCCAATCTTGAACCCCCATTCCCTCGGATGAGAATCCTGATGGATTGGAGAGATTGGCATGAACCTGAAAGAATGCTACTGTGGATCGTGTGGAAGGGAAATCTATATACAGTATAAACTAACGGCAGTTATTAGCCAGTGCATTTCGTGAAGGTATCTCGCTCGCATTTTTAAAAAGTCTGGCTGTTTGCATTTGTGAAAGAAAGCCCTGCTGTCCGTGAAAGTGAAGCTGGCAGGGGAGCTTTGCTCAAGCAAGGATGACCTGACAAAGCTGTACAACTGCCACCGTAAACCCTGAAAGAGCTGAACCTTGCGCTTCTATAATGCTCATGTTCCAGGAGCACTCTGCGCGTGTTGCTGGACTCGCATCAAACTCATTCGCCGCAACTCATCTCTGTTTAGTGCCTTGTAAAGATCTGAAGCTCTGTGGCTTCATTGGTTGCTGTGTCCGGAGGCACCACTGCTTCGGCAAACCTTTGCAGAGGAAGAACTACCGTCACAAACTGACAAAAATATATATAAATGATATGATATGATGTGTGCTTCTACTTATGTTTCTATTTGATAAAAGCCTTTTGATCAAATTTGTCGAATCAACGAACCTCGTCATCGACATCGGCACCACTCTAAGGCATACGCCCAACCGACACAGAGTCGATGGGAGTGCCTCAAAAGCTATTGTTTTGGCTTGAAAAAGTATGGCGTTTTGTGGTTCTTTAAAAGTTGGGAACTCCACAAATTCTCAGGGCAGGGAATGCGAGCGGCCTGACTCTCGGCTTACCAGCGACATCTAGGGTTCAAAACTTCCAGACATCGCCCGAGGCAGAGACTTGCATTGGCCATGTACAGCACGTACTGCGAGACTATGGCCACGTCGCCCTGGCAACAGCTTGACATGATCACACTTGTTGATCACACTTGGGTTAGCTCTGTCTATGGGAATTCTTTTTCACCTTCTCAAGTCTCAAGTATTACATATTGTATCATGTTTACTGCCTCTGCGTGCGGCATACCCATCCAAAGAGCGTCCAGTGTGCCTGCTCTTGCCAAGTGATGTTGCCACCCAGCTCTCCAGCGTCTAAATCCAGGTCTGTGAATGCCACCTCAGGCTGCCAGAGAACTTCGAGGACCATTGGAAGTCATCGAACAGTCCTCTTTGTATCCGGCCTTCAGTCTGTCCAACACCATCTAGACCAAGGCTTTTACTTTTGTACCTTTTCTGCTGCTCTTCCACGTCCGCTTTCTGCCACGGGACACTTCCCACAGTTGCAGAAGCATCGTAGAACTCCAAACTGCTGGGTGTGGTCTGCTCAGCAAAGCTAGACCTCCACACGTAAATGACTCACAGCGTTAGCAAAGACTCCGCTGCACTAAAATTGCGAGTCTGCGCACTTAAGGCCAAATGCCTCACGTATACCAGCAAATGGGTGAAGGCGCCGGCAGCTGTGCTGTCAGGTACAAGCAGCTGGTTGGTCCCCACCTCAAGTTGTCAGCAGTGTGAAATATGCTGCGAGTCGCAATCTTTGTAGATTGAACGGTCCATTGGATACTAAGTTCTAGTCAAATATAAATGGCAGTGTGAGCTCTTCCACTCTAATGAATCTGGGACATAGGCAGGGGCGGTGCCCACATATTGCGAAGAGCCAAAGCCATTGCTGGTGTTGGTGGCTAGGTACACCACATAGTCAGTGACCTCAAAAGTTACCATTCTCTCCATGTCTTTCAAGGCCACAAAGAGCCACATTTGCAACAGCCAGGGCGTGCTTAGGTCCCAGCCAAGGATGAGTTGGAGCCCACCCACGAGAAGAGCCCACCCAACTCTTGCTGATCCAAGTCCTGATGGACAGGCATCAGAAACTCTTCAAGCTGTGTACTTCATTCATGTTGCATTTGAATGTGCACTCCTTCAAAGATATGATTGTTAAGGTGCAATGTGCACTTAGCGTCATCTTCCCAACTGACCACAAACTATCATTGGCCGATAAATAGCGAGCCTTTTGGATCCTTTTGGACTGCCTTCCTTCTAAATGCAGTCAACAGGTGTTTTGCAATTCCATGTGATACATAATGCGGCAGGCAAAACCGGTAGAACCGTAAGCCTGATCAGCAAAATATGTTGTTTTTGCGTAATATACACTCCTCGTCTTGAAAGTTGAGATCAGTCACGCCCAGCGAGATATCTGAGATCCTTGGCGGTTTTGGATCTCTCTGCAAAACCGGCTAGGCCCTAGAGGTCGATGCTTCTGCAGAACTCTATGAGTTCAGTTTTTTCTCATCAAAAGCTACGCCCTGTCGATTGCCGTAAACCAATGGCAATGGCCTCCACCCTACTAGCGATGGCCTCCAACCTACCCCTTTCGGGCTAAATTGTTAAACAAGAAAGCATTCTCCCCTGAATCACCCCATTCGCTCTGGTGACGAGCTGCCCGATGCTGCTGGGTGTGCTTTGTTCGAAGAGAGACTTTGCGGAAGCCAAGACCTTGAGGGACAACTGAAAGATTTGTTTGAATGTTTTCTGTAGAAAGTAGTGCTTTCTCTTTGTCTTTGAGGCCTTCAGACCTTCTCTTTCCTTCTTCCCTCTTTGCTCCCTTTGGACTACTGTTTAGTATATGATATTGTCATATCACGTTTCAGAAGTATTTATGTGCATTTTGTTTGGCATTCCGCTGGCATGTGCTCTGGAAGGTTCTGCAAATCATCCAGAGAGAAAAAGGGTCTGGCTGGAAGTTTTGCGAATGATGCTGTCAGACTGTGTTGGGGCAAACTATATCACCTTCACTTCAAAAAAAAACAAACTTCCCAAGAAATCTTGACGACAATGGAGACCAGCAGTTCCAAACCGAATATGGAGTCTAGCCCTTTGTTGCAAACATGCTGAAAGCCCTTGCGCTGCTGACCAACCCCACTTGCAACCCTTTCGGTACTCTTGAGGCACTAGCGTACTGAAAACCATTCAAGGCTGTGTCCGACGGCAAATCTACCTGCACAGGCAATGCAGTGTCAGGAGTCAGGTGCGCTAAAAAGTTGAGATATGGCAGTGTATCAACACCTGGGACCTGGAGCTCAAAACTGATGATTCTTCCCAAACGCATTGCATCTCCGACGCTTGGGTTCTCGTCTAGTCTGCTAGCCGCAAATCGAGCGAGCATTGGATGCGGACGACGCGGATGACCACGCGGTGCTGCTGTGGAGCTGCTGTTCTGCAGCTGTATGTGGTCCAGCGGGGGGGGACGCTGCGGATGACCCCGAGCGTTGGATGCGGATGCTGCGGATGACCACGCGGTGCTGCTGTGGAGCTGCTTTTCTGCAACTGTATGTGGTCCAGCAGGGGGGGTGCGAGCATTGGATGCGGACGCTGCGTGATCAATATCTTGTGGTTTTTGCTTTTGGGTTCCCGGGCTCACCTTGTTTGTGTTCATTGTCTTTTGACCCACTGCCATATCAAGACTCATAGGGTGGAGCGAAGTAGTGCAGCAACATCAATGTGGTAAGGTCAAACGCTTGGTGAGCTCAGACCTACATGATTGAAGGTCTCCTTGGTATGACACATGTACGAGCCCTTCTTCTGACTCTAGACCACCTCAGCAACTGCATAGGCCTAACTAGCAGGGATCTGGCCACCCCCCAGTCTATGGCCGAACAAAATGTTTATCCAGCAATGTAAGCCTCTGGGCAGTGCTTTTTGTACCTTCTGAAACTCATTTTGCTTACTTTATGCAGGATGCCTGCCACTCTCCGAGCACTGCCTCCGACGAGTTTTGTGGGATGTCGCCCGCAATTTGAGATCGACCGGTACCAAGTTGGTCGACTGACAAGTACCTCTGACAGCGAGGCTTGGTGGCCAAGAGGAATTGGGAACACTGTTGCAGTTACTGATATCGTGGCAAATGTCTTCCCAAATTCAACATTGTGGTCCTGGGTCTCCTGACACTCTGTAGACATCCACCAGATTTACATCACCTGCACATGAACAGCTCATGCCAACAGCTGGGCCTCGTCTAGTGGAAGCTTGCACCACCATTTGCATACCATACTCGTACAAATATTTGCACTAGTTGCTCCGGTGTACGTCAATAGATGTGAACTCAACAGTTTGCATGTGTCCATACATCCTGGATCATCCCAAATGTTGAGCTTCCAGGCAAAACCCAGCCTGAAGAAGAAAAGTACACAGTTCCACCCAGCTCATCTGCATCAAAATCTTGGTCTGTGAAGCTTACGGACATCGACACCACACCATCGCCTCAGTTGTCTCCTTCCCCCTTCCCTCTGAAACCAGAAAAAAGTGAAAACTGAAAACAAAAAAACGGGATTAAATCATTCATGGTCAGCATTGAAGTTCAAACATACTTGTCTGGTGCACTTAGTGCGCTTGTTGTTCGTACATGCCTCTTAGGCGCCACCTCGAAAGAATTAAAGAATTGAGAATTGCATCGCAAAAACAGCACTCCACACACAGCCTCCCCCTGTACCGTGTATGTGAGCCCGGACGCAAGTATCGTTGGAGGTTTAAAGTGCTGGGAGGGAAGACACAATGCGTCACGATGATACATGTAAAGTGGCGTGCATAATGTGAAGGTGGAAGGATGAAGGTGTTAGAAGCAGGGTGTGCACTACACTATATTGCTATGCTGCTCAACTCCCTTTGTCATAACACAGGATTTCTCATTTGCTGCCAACACTGTCCTTGCTTGGGTTTCCACTTTCTATTGTTGCTGCTACTGGTGTGTGTGTGTGTTGCAAAGACTTCGATGGTCAATCGTGAGTCATTCAAGCTACCCGAGAACCTTCCCGCGAACGGACAAGAAAAAGGTGAAGGTCTCGTCAGCTTAACTCAAACCGCAAGAATAGCTTTTAGACTCTTATCATTTATCATGCAATGTTTCAAGCTGCGAGAAAGCCCAACCAGCAAAGGGTCCAGATCGTGACACCAAGTTGCTCATTTGGATAGCTTCAGGAGTGCTCTGTTCGCCTGCCGCCTGGGTTCATGATAGACCGACGGACCATGCTAAGAAGGGGGTTGGATGGACCTCAAGTTGAAATGAAGCTGGGTTACAGATTTGGTGTACAAAAGGAGGTACGGCAATGTCTGATCTTGTGGAACGAGAAATGTCCTGGCGCAGGGCCACAATACTTTTGGAACTGCCACCTCTCTCTCTCTCTCTCTATTTCTCTCAACCTCTCTCTTGCTGGCATCTTCTCAGAGTCTGCTATGATTCTCTTGGGGATGATCTGCTTTGATTTCTTCCATCACTGTACATCTCTGTACTTACTGTAAGCTTGAGTTCTCCGACCAAAGTAATGGCATCTTTCGCCTGTCTGGCCTGTCCTGTTCTCTGCGGGCAACTCACCAGAGACATCCACACGCCCAGTGCCGTTCCAGGATTCTCCCACATACACAACCTCAGCTCCACACAACACACAAGGAAGAGATCTAAAAAACAGTTGAACTAAAATCTAAATGACTTTCTGGTTTCATGAAACTCCCAATCTCACTCGGCCACGAAAGGATACCGAGGTTGACCAAGGTTGACCGAGGTCCTGGTTCAGCAAATTCTCCTCTCCCAAAGCTCAGCCTCCAGACGTAGTGCTCGACAAAGGAAACATCTTGTGGGTCTGGCCATTCCAGTACGCCTCCGAAGTGTTCCGGATCCAAATCCTGGTGGCTCGGCGGTTGGCTCAATGGCAACACCAACAGCCCAACACAAATCTTACTGCATTGGCCAGCCGGCGAAACAATTCCTTCCTGTCAAGCTCTTAGGCGCATGTCGGACCAGAAAGTCAGATTGCTTTACCACTCCCAACCTCGTCTGTAAAGTTGAGGTAGTCGAAAAGTGTTGCCTTGTGGGAATCAACGCCAACAAGAACAGGGAGAATCGAGCATCGAGCAAAGACTCACGAGCATTGCAGTATACAAATGATTTACTGCATCAATAAACGTCTGTTCACATCAATTCATCAAGGCTGTAAACGCAACCACGGCACCGTGTCACTGATGGTAATCTGTTGTGCAGTGCTTTGCTCTACAAAGCTGGATTTCACATAGACACGAATCTGGGTGTAGCTTCCCTGTGCAGGCGCGAGCAAGTCGTGAGTGCCATCACTTCTTTGTGACTGCCATCGCAGAATCCCAGGCCTTTGGAGTGTCCGTGGCAACGCTCAACTGTGTCACACCTCCAACTGCCACATCTTGAGAGACCTAGCACAAAACATCACATAGCTTCATATTGACAAATTGACACATGTTGCATAGCATAGTAACACAACATATCTCATATCACCATACAATAGCATGTACCATGTAGTGCCATGTAGCCTCAAGTTGAAGCGAAAAGAATCTGTCCCAGCCGAGTCCACCTGAGATCGATTCCCCGTGTACTCGTCCGCCAAGTAAGCTGCATAATGAGTCACCAAGGTCACCTGGCTACCCGGGTAGGATCTGAAAGGGCACCACGACAAAGACTCAACGATAAAATACTGTAATAGCAATATATAGCCATGGCCTAATAGCTTCGAACCTAATAGCGATGGCTTCCAACCTGAAGAGTATCGCACATGGCTGGCATCGTTGAGAATAGGTGGCATCATGTGGGTACCGCTATGCCACTGTGCCTCATGAGTTGTTCAAGGTGTTACCGATTGTATATATACCTACACCAAGCTTCAGTAATACCACCTCAGACCTGTAAACTCTAGGTCTAACACACTGTTTGGACTCTTTGGAAAAATGAACTGAAGAAACAA